TGCTACATGTACATACCTGTATATCGTTCGACTGGCTAACCCGAAGTGCCCAGTGAAGGAGCAGACCGACCAGTAAAATCAAACAGTAAAACCAATAGTCAGCGAAACCGAAGGACACTTGAGGCACCGGGTCGAGTCCTACCTGCCTAACGACAGATCGCAGTCCTTGGTCTATTGCGACCAGGGCCATCTGCTGGGTACTGCAGCGCTTCGGTCCGCTGTTTCAAAATGCTTTAGGGTTTAGGGTTTAGGTTTCACTGGACAAGGGCCAAGTTAACCAGTTTTGTCATCTACAAGTTAACAAGTCTGCGGCTGAGTGTTTGAATTTTAGATTTGGACTTGTATAACAACAGGCTTTGAGAGAATCTTGAATACATGTGTGTGTGTGTGTGTACGCGTGCATGTATGGATGTATAACCGATGCATCGCTACGGACCTTAGTGTAGTTGTTTACCATGTATTAATAAATTATAAACCCTGAACCAGAGATCCCTAAACCCTGAACCAGAGATCCCTAAACCCTAAACCCTGAACCTGAGATATCATCACGGAGCCTGGCCTCCCCTTGCCTCTCCAGCTGGTCTGTGCGCATCTGATCCTTTCAGTCGCAGAATTCAGGATTGAGGGGGTTTAGGGCTAGGTTAGTGGGCCCCAAACGTCCCTTCTATTGCACCCCAAACTCTAAGCTTAGGCCCTAAAGCCGAAACCGCTAAACCCTAAACCAAGGCCCTAAACTGAAATCGCTAAACCGCTAAACCCTAAACCCTAAACTTAGGCCCTAAACCGAAATCGCTAAACCCTAAACCCTAAACTTAGGCCCTACACCGAGCTAAACCCCAAACCCCTAAACTGAGGCCCTAAACCGAAATCGAAATCGCTGAACCCCAAGTCTCCGACTCCCTCGGTCCTCCTTGTCGGCCAGCATCTTCTGCTGCAACTGAAGGTCCCTCAAACGGTCAGTCAGTTCCTGGGGGCTTGGGTTCAAAGGGGGGTTCCCCTAAAGCTTTAAAGGAACCCAACAGGCGGTTAGGGTTTAGGGTTCCACATAAAGTAAAGGAGCCTGACGTTCGGACTTTTTTCGCTCAAGGGTTTCTAGGGTTTAGGGTTCATACAGTAGGCTTGCCAGCTTCGCCAGCCTTGTACTCTCAGACCTCCACTCGGACTCATGGGCTAAGACTTCATTCGTCGACGGGCACGGCGAGACGGCAGGCTTTGTAAACGGGGGGTCGGCATAATGAGGACATCGTTCCCCCTTAGCTTTCGAACTCCCATGCCGCGGCACTCTCTTACACAGGCCATTTCCACAAGCATGCGTGATACAAGGCCTTGCAGTTCCGAACCTGGTCTTTGCCGACCCTCATACTCCACGGCTCGATCTTGCCACAACTTTGCAAAAAGTGGAAAAGTGGCGCCACAAATGCGAAGCACTGAGTTCAGGGAGTAAGGTAACTGAAATATACATTTTCTCAAGAGATAAACTCGTATCGACTTGGCATGCTAGCCACAACTACCATCGGCTAACCAACTCATCTAAGTTATGATGCCTTCATGTACCCAAATACTTACTCTTCAATGCTGCTCTAACCTTTGAAACTACAATCCTTGAGCCGGGCCCAACCCGAACTTGTTGAAACCCGAAGCTCCTGGAGCCGCCTCCGCTGCGCTTGCAGAAGCTTCTCCTCGCCAGCAACAAAAGTCACTTTCTGTCGGGGTTTAGGGTTTAGGGTTTAGGGTATCTCAAGGACATTTTCCCTAAACCCTAAACCAAACAGTAGGAACAACAAAAAGTACCCTTATGGTTAAGGGGCTACTGGGAAACCTGGTCTAGGACATTTTCAGGTGGGTAGTTACCGTTATAGGAGCCTTATAGAAAGTCTATATACCTTATGGAAGCCTTATAGAAGCCCTAGATTCCCTAAACTCCCCACCTGTAGTTTCCTTTAAGTACCCAGGACATTTCAAGGGTCCTCGGCTTCATGAGGGCTTTAGGAGGGACCTTTAATAGGGAGACTACCTGGCTATATCAGGGGTATATAAGGGCTATACAATGGTTATTTAAGGTAATGGGATTAAGGATTTCTATTAGGGGTCCCTCCTAAAGTCCTTAGGTTCATGATCAGAACAACTCGAATGCTAAACATTGAACTCCTAACTAGGCCGTCAGCTTCGCATTTTCGAGCAACCTCCCCTTCAAAAAACAAAGCAAGCAAACTCCGAGTTCGAGGTTTAGCCCCCTCAGGATACAGGGCGTTGGAGTAACCGTAACCAGGGAGAAAAAGTGTAAACGTGTGTTTCACAACGGTTCCTCTAAGTAGCAGGTCCAAAAAACAATAAAGTACGGTTCTCCAAAACCCCTGATACCTAGGAGATCTTTCCACAGCCCGGTCTTGCAGGCAACCGGAAGCCTATAAGAACGGAAAGAAATTATCATGGTAAGGGCTACTACACCGATGTACACGTGGCCCCGAGATAAGCCGACGATGCCGCTTCGACTGCGTATCAGGAATAGTATTGCATGTTCCGGGTAAGGGCAGGCTTATTTGTTAACTGTAGGCCCTAAACCCCCAAACCTACACCCTCAAGCCTAAACCCCACAGGTTAAGGTCTGCGCCTGCTCCAGCACGTCTTGCGATTGCTGGCTCTCCTCCTGCTTCACCAGCTCAGACTGATGCTGCTGCTGCCGCAAATGCCTGACGAGAACCAGAAAGAGCGGGTCATATCCTACTCCCTTCTCTCGGGACCTAGTAGGAGCTGTTACACATAAAAGTAGGAACCCAAAACGAGGGGTATGGTATGACCCTAAAGTGAGGTGGGTAAAGCGATACATAGAGGAGCAAACTCGACAGGGTTTTGCACAGCTTGCTCCATAAAGATGCAACCTTGAATCTTCAACTTGCAAGCTGTACGACACCTGAAAACAGAAAGCCGAACCCTAAACTCCAAAATCTAAGTCTGAAGCATAAACCGAAATGTCGTATGGTTTCTGCACATTTCCACCTCTCCGCGCGCGCCACGGCGTCCACCGTCTGATGCTCCAGTTGCTCGTCCTCTGCACTCCGGCCGCTTTAGGGTTAAGGGCGTGGGGTTTAAGTTGAAACTGCAACAAACACATCCTTGATCCCACAACACGATTTAGTGGTTTGGTTTGGGGTTTAGGATTTTCTTCCCAGGTTCCTACGCAAAATCCAGCAACAGAGTGATCCGGCCCATGACAAAGCTAATCGTAACAATATTTTCCGAGCATAGGTGAAGAGTTTGCGGCTTGAGAGGTTGCGGCTCCTGGCGATTTAACGCCAGTGAAACCTTGTCGAATCTGACATGTGCATCACTCCAAACCTCCTATCTCTAACGGGTCAGGGTTGAAGGCTTGGAAAGTTTCAAAGCTAAGGTCTCAACACCTTAACCCAAGCCAACCCTACGCCTCAAACCCTGCGGCCCTGTAAGACCAGGAATCGCCCGATTTTCCCAACTGCAACGTCTTTTTGTGGAGACCCTAAACCCTAAACCCAATTGCCACCCTAAACCCTAAACATTTCGGGGTCGGAAGCCTGAACGAGCTGCTCTTGCAAGCGCTGCAGCTCATGCTCCAGCTGCCCCTGGTAAGCACAAGAGGCTGCGGGTTGGTTTAGGGCTTAGGGTTTAGGGATTAGGGTTTAGGGATTAGGTAATAAGGGACAGATTCGGGATGCAAGGGCTATTAGAGCGGTGGGGGAGGGGGCTTGGGGCAGTCGGGCCTTCTCGAGTTTGTAAGGCTTGAGCCCGTTCAGTTGGGTTCATGACCTGTTGAACCTGCAGATCTAATGGGCAATTTCCGCATTAGGCTATCATATCACAGGAGCCGGCAAAAGAGCTCGAGAGCAAAAAACGTAGGTCTCTATTGGTTGGCTCTTCGGACTTTAACTTTTTGGAGCGCTTGATCGCTGTAGGAAGGGCGCAGGAGTCAGCCGAGGAATGACCTCTGAACTCCGCCAATTGTAAACCTTAAAGCCTCAGAGGATCCTTAAGGGATGGGGGGGGGGGTCTGTAGGGCCAGGGACGGCCGTAGGTTCCCTGGGACCCTTATAAGGTTCCCTAACAATTCCCTAGCAGCCAGTGGGTTCTTCACCATCCAAAGGGATGCCTAACCCTACTTGGAGGTTTATGGGTAGTTATAAGTGGGATTGTAAGTCAGTAAGGTAACTATAGTTATAACCCACCTTAGGGGACTTGTAACCCACTTATAACCCTAAACCCTAAACATAACTACCCATGAACCTCCAAGTAAACCCTAAACCTCCCAGTGCCTGCCGGAGGAAGATGCGTTGCTGCATCTGCTGAGCTTCCAGCTCCTGCCTGCGAAAGCGAAGATGCGGGCGAGCTGAGGCAATGAGGGCTCCGGGTCGAAAGGCCGAGGCGGTTGAGGTTTGGAGGGTTTGTGTAACAGGTAAATGAATAAATAGATAAATAAATACATAGATAAGTACATAAGTAAATAAATAAACGAATGAATAGATAAAGAGAGATGGGCTTGAAGATTCTGAGTTTAGGTTCTGCCTCCTACTTCGCAAGGACGAGCCCGCATAGCAACATCGTCACCACCACTTTCGGCAGAGGAGGAACAAGACAAAGATGAAGAATGTTCACATGGGTAGTTCTCTAAATCAGGGTCGCTTCTAGGGTCCTTTTTATAAGGGTGCCGTACTATTTGGGGGACCTAAAAAGGGACCCTAATTTAGAGAACTACCCACATGTGCGTACAACATGACGGCTCCACGTACGGCTCACTGCGTGTCCTGGCGCATGCCATGTCAAGGTCGCCATCGCCGGTCGACATGCCTCCAGCTCGGATTTCAACTGGCATCGCCTCTTCCGCAAGGGCAAATCCACATAGTGATGTTCGCCGCTGCCGAGCTCGGCCCACAGGTTGTGGTTTACGGCTTGGCTGCGCACATCCTGCCTCCATCAAACCGCGTTTGAGCTGGCAGTTTAGGGTTTAGGGTTCTGGCCCTTGATTTTGTAGGGCCCTGTTTCGTCGTGCCTGGGTCCTACAAGACCTATCCGTTTAGTTTTATGACTCTTACAAAACAGAGAGAGGCTGCCAAGCAATGAACAGGGGGTGGTTCTTAGACAAAAGGTGCACCCTAAACCCCAAATCGGAATCGATTGAGTGTTTGACGCCGAGGTGTCGGCTGGAGTTTTTGACCAAAAGCCCCCCGGTCTTAGGAGTTTATGGCTTCAGCGCTCGCACTCGGACAATCCAGGCGAGGCATGTGGTCTTAAGTCGGCGAAGTGAAACAAGCTCTGCAAGGAGAGGAAACGCTCTCAGAACAACTTTTCCCTCACAATACCAACCTACTAAAAGGAACACGTCATATGTACTCCCGATTCTCCACATGTCACACAACAACTAATTCAGGGCCTCGGACTCAACTACTGGCGACAATGCCAGAGCTTCAAAGTGGACAGAGATTCATTTTATCCGAAGAAAGAGATCTCGCTTTCAAACAGTGTTGCCCCTGTAAACATACAACCTCCCAGAAAGGACGTATGCAATCTATCTTGCCCCAAGATCTCATTGCTCGGTTAGACCTAGTTTAAAACCCGGGGTCATGCAGCAAACATACAATCTACTGCGGTCACATGGGGAAGGGCGTGGGGTTTAGGGTTCAAGATCCTACTGTTGATGATATAGATCCTGCAAAAGCTTTAGGACCCTAAATCCTGAGTAGGAATTATGATGGAATATTCCTTGCCATGGGTCACGCAGGATTTATATCATCAACCGTAGGGTCTACGGCGCTCGGGCTTATAGGCTATAGGGTGTCGGGTTTAGGCTTCTAGGGTGTAGGGCCGTTTAGGGTGAAGGGTCTAGGATCCCAGGCTTCAGGGGGTTGGGTCTGGGATCCTAGGGTTTAGGGCGTAGGGCTTTTGGGTAGTTGTTTGAACGACCCTTCTCCTTCACGCTAGGAGTGTGGGGAGTAAGAGCTTAGGCGGCTTAGGGTCCACTTCCCGATGTCTTCTCCTGACTCCTAAAGGTCTTCGCGCAAACCTAAACCCTAAACCCTTAACCCTAAACCCTGAACCCTAAACCCTAAACCCTAAACCCTAAACTGCACACAAACCCCTTTTTTCTAAACCCTAAGGCGTGTTCGGGATGCGCCTGCGCTTGTCGGCTTCCATCTCCACTTCCTTGAGCTTGGATTGCGGTTCTTGGCAATTTAGATTCTAGGCCCGCAGCTCCCTGACAGTGACCAGCAGCCTACCTCCCGAAGCTCACCAAACCAAGCTGCGGGATTGTCCCACGCGCACGCACAAATCTCCTTTGGAGCCCTGTAAATAAACCGCAAGCCCTAAACCCTAAATCCCAAACCATGACGCCCCCACCCTATTCCCCCAAGACCTCGACAACCGACCTTGGAACCTGAAACACTAGTATCGAGGGGTTTAGAGTTCAGGGTTTAGATTGAGAGGTCGGAATATCAATTGCTAGTATCCCCTTCTTCTCCCACTTCATGTCCATTCTAGAGACCCTATTTTTCCCTGTAGGTGAACCCAATTCTAATTCTTAAGGCCCCTCCTATACTATCTCCTGCGCTGCTTTCAAGGCTCCATCTCCTGGAGAATCTTTGTCTTCTCCCTGGCTTCCTGGTCCTGAGTCATATGTCCGGTATATTATGCTCGGGTTTAAGGTTTAGGGCTTAGGGGGAGGATTCGAATAGGGACTCGAAGGGTTCTAATTTACTGTACAGGATCTGTAACAAGGCTTTTGGATGAGTGGGGCACGGGGGCTGGGTAGATTGTACTACAAGCCCATGAATGCACTATAATGCAATGCGGAACCCTGAGCAATACGGCTGATGATACAAAATCCTGCATTACCCATGATAAGGAATAGACCATAATCCCCATAGTTTAGGGTTCTTAAGGTAATGCAGAATCTATATCAGCAGCAGTAGTATTACGAGTTCTTCAGGCTTCTTTTTTGCAGCCGGCTCCCTAAGTCTCTCGGCAGGTCTGAAAGTTCGGGGCTTTAAAGTGTTACGGTGTACAACTTACGGCTCGGTGGATGGTGACGGGCTTCAGGATTGAGGGTTTGATGCAATTTCGGGGGCTTAGGAGCTCCGGGGTTGGTTTAGGGTTTAGGGTTTAGGGTTTTAGGGTTTAGGGTTTAGGGTTTAGGGTTAGGATCTGATTTTTGTTGGGTGGTGGTTGTGGGGGGGCTTAGGTATTCAGGGTTGGGCGGTTAGGTCAGTGTAGCCATACGTTGTGCGAGTTCTCCGTGCGATAACACTTAGCACAAAGGACTGGCGCATGTATAGTCGGACCCTGACATATATCATATATCCCTTTTCCGTAGATTCTGATTGACATCAAAAGCCTAAACTAGTACACACTAGAAACCCTTTTTTGCACTGCAAAAGACCCGAAAACCCTGAAGCCCTGATCTGCGACATGAGACTAGCAAAGCTAGTAAAGCACTCCATCATAAAACCACGACTCTAACCTCTAATAGGTTCCGACAGCTACTGCAACATGAGGCTGTCGTCCCTCAGAACCCTAACCCCTAAACCCAAAGCCCTAAACCTTAAACCCCTAAACCCGAAGCCCTTTTGCAGTAGGCTTCTCTCGCCCTAAGCCCTAAGCCCGTTATAAACCCCAAACCCCAAGCTCCAAACCCTAACTTAGTTGCTGAGTTCATAAGCCCCAAGAAGTGTACACTTTCAGTTCTATAAGGGATCATATCATCCCCAAAAGTCTAAAGTGTACTCACTCAGCTCCAAACCCTAAAGGACGAGGGACCCTCAGCTGTTGCCGTTGGCGTTGCTCCTGGTTCCGAAGGAGCTGAATCTGGTGACCTAGGATGCGGCGTTCGGGCTGACGTGCGATTTACAGTTTGGCTTTAAGGGCTTCCACAAAGAAAAATACCCGAAATTTACGGTGTGGCTTTAGGGGCTTCCACAAAAATTACCCGAAAAGCTCTAAACCCGAGGGTTCAACTGAGCTGCCTCGCCGTCATGGCAGTCTTAAGTTGAGGTCCGCAGCCCTTCATCCTGAATTCACGAGCCTGGTGGATTCTTTGATGCGGCACAGTAGCTCGCTTCGAGTTTTCAACTCCTTGTAGCTAGACGGCAAACCCCTCAAAACCGACCCATAAGGATGACAGAACGAAAACTAAATCCTGAGGAACACCCACTAGAGTTGCCTCGGCTTTTGACCCTGCTTCAGCAAGCATAGGCTGACCCCACACCTCACATCCTATACTCCCCCCTACACTTTCAACCCATTTCTCAACCCGCCTAACAATTCAACCCTTCAAAACACTACAACACGAAGCACTCCTCAACTCACAACAAAACAAATAGCACAACCCAAAACACAAAGCACCTACCAACACAACACCAAATCCCAATACACATACAAAATCAAAACAACCTCCTTCCCCCACACCTCAACCCTTCAACAAACCAAAACACAAAGCACCTCCCAGCTCAACAAAAACACTAAGACACAAAACAAAATCAGAACAACCTCCTTCCCCCCCACACCTCATACCCTATACTCCCCCCTACACTTTCACCCCATTTCTCAACCCGCCTAACACTTCAACCAATAAATCCCTCAAAACACAAAGCACCTCCCAAATCCCACGCCGAGATCCCAAATACAATCCAAAACACAAAGCACCTC